AAATCCAGCCGTTTCGACTGTGTGACGTCACTAAAACGGGACGCCCCTCCCATGAGTGTTGATTGACAGCAGCGTTTCAACCAGACCCGCCCTCGCTCATGAGCCAGCTGTCAATCATAGTCCGCCATTGTTGATATGCTGGAGCACTGTCTATGAGCAGAATGGCGTCTAAGCGATTGTGGTGTTCTGTTCTTGGGTGTAATAACGACACAGTCATTTTAATGTTCCTAAAATCCGAACCGCTGAAGACGCAGTGGCTGAGTTTGTTTTCGAAGGGAATATTCCCCACGAGCAACGTCAATGCTCTCATGTTTGCGCGATTCGCGAACCATTTCTCCCCAGACTGCTTTATAAACGAGGGTCAGTGTAAAGCTGGTTTTGCTAAGAAGCTGCTCCTGAAAAAAGGATCGTGTCCCTGCTGCACCTCCAGAAGAAGTGAGTGTAAACTAGGGATGTCCCGATCAGGTTTTTTTGCCCTCGAGTCCGAGTCATTTGATTTTGAGTATCTACCGATACCGAGTCCGATCCGATACTTATAGGCTATAATACATAAAAAAAGAATAAAGAAGAGAGAAAAAACAGATCCAGGATGTTCCTTATTTTTTATTTAATTCACCTTATTTTAACATTCAACAACTCTGTTAACAAACAGAGCACTTCTGTGAGGTAGCTTGAACAATCAAGTAATAAATAACATAAAATCTTCACTTTTGGACTTTAGTGCAACAGTAAATATAGAAAAAGTCTAATATAAAAACAAATAGCACCTCAACTTAAAATACCCGGCAGGCATGTAAACAAAAATAAAAATGTTTTAAAAGTGTATAAAAAAAATAATGAGAATATATATATACATTAGGGGTGTAACAGTTCACAAAATGTGCGGTTTCGGTTCGATACGATACAGCAAAAAGAAAGAAATGCCAGAGAAATTTCCTATAAAAGAAAAAACTATTTTTAAATAAGTTTGAGTTTTCCTACATCTTGAAACTTTCAGGTTTATAAATGGGGGTAATCTTTGAAGGATGAACAAATAATGTTTTGGTAATCACATTAAAAATAACATTTAAATATATATTTATATAATATTTGAGTTTTGAAGTGCAACATTAAATCCATGTTCATTCACGGCACAGTGTTTCTCCTGGTGTCCACGTCAGCGCTGTTTGATCTAATAGAGATCTACGGTTAATAATGGAGAAATGTGAATGCTTCTCTAGATCTCGCAGCGATGTTATTACTTCAGTGGCGGATTCAAATGTTTTCTTCCCTGGATCTCTAAGCACAGTGTCGCTTGATCTTGCGCTGCAACAGATGTTGCTGGTCTGAACTGATAAATGGTCCGTGAAGCACAATATAATGAGTGGCGCAGTTTTCGTTCCGCTTTCATACGTTTGCCATGTGATGTTGCGCAGCGTTGTGGTGATCGCGCCAGCGCGGATTTTGTCTACAGGAAAAATGGTCCTAGCAATCGTTCGGTTTGTGTGCGTACCGAACCGCAAGCCTCGTACCGAAACGGTTCAATAATTACGAATACATGTACCGTTACACCCTAATTTACATATATCCGAGTCCTGATCGGGAGGTAACGTCCGATTCCGATCGAGTCTGAAACCACGTGATCGGGCCCGATTTCCGATCGCGTGATCGGATCGGGACATCCCTAGTGTAAAGTTTTAATAACCTTTACATTGATCTTTGCAAATCGCTTGCACGCTTCACGATGAATGCGTCTAAGGTTTACACTCAGGGTAACGTTACATTACGCCATGTTTTCTATACGACGTTCTCAATATAATTCATAATCCCACTTTTATAATGAACAACGCGTTATGGTTATTGTGAAACTGAGTACGTATAACTTACATCAGTAAACATATAGCGTTCGTTCGTACATCTCACTAAGTTACTCTAACGTTACCCTGCCAGTACACAAAGAAAGATCAAAGTGACATTAGGTTAACCAACCAATCAGAAACGTCCTGTCGACCCTTAATTGTCGAACTTCTTTGCGGCCGCCATCTTGTTCCGGGTCCGACTCCGGTTCAAACTGATACGTTTGCACAGATCTGTCCTCAGAGACTCGCTGCCATTCTCTCTCCAAAATACACCCTCAACTGTTGTCAAGGCAACACTCGTGCGTTGTGTAAAAGCGCCCGCAGAACAGGGGGGCGGAGTCAGCGACATGCACTGAAACGGCGTGCTGAAAACAGAGCTGTTTTTGACCAGGTAAAATAAGTGTTTTCTTACAATACTAATGAGAATTTTTAATTAAAGTATATTACAAACTTTTCATTTAGACCCTAAAGAATCAAATTAACTTGTATGAAAATGGCATTATATGACCCCTTTAAACCATTCATTGTCTAAAACCGTCTAAAACCATAGTTGTTACTCCTGTTCAAGTCTACAGAGTAAAGTGCTGCATGTGAACGAGTGTCTTCATCGGGCAGTGGATCTCGAAGCGCTTAATTAAGCAGATCTGCACCTGTAATAAGTC